GTAAATGACAACTGTGAGATGAGGATCTCGCGGTCGGGAGTAATCAAGGCACTGAAACACATGGAAATGAGAGGTTGGGGCTGTCGGGGATTGAGGAGTTTCAAATAAAAATGGGACGTCATCGGGAACGATGCCAGAGACTAAATGGGCTCAAATAAAAATAATTAAAATTTGAGACATGCGCCGACGAGACCACTGAACTTTGGATCTAATGGAGAGTTTGATCCTGGCTCAGAATGAACGTTGGCGGCATGCTTAACACATGCAAGTCGAACAGAATATAGAAAAAGGCTTGCTAGAAGAACTCCAAAATTTTTCAGTAATCCGAGATTCTAGCGGAGAACTAAGGTATTTTATTAACGGAAAAAAATATAGATTACAAGAACCAAGTTTCAATGAACAGGAAGCAATTTATCAAGCATCAACTTATTCATCAGAATTATATGTACCAGCACAGATAACTTATACAAAATCARAAAAAAMRAAAAGTGAACTAATACTAATCGGCAACATTCCAATAAYGACGGCCAGAGGGAATTTTATTATTAATGGAGCTTGTAGAGTTATAGTTAACCAAATTCTACGTAGTCCAGGACTCTATTATGGATCAGAACTTGATGCACAAGCGGGACAAAAAATAAAATAAAATGTAACTAGTGTGGGATGAGTGGTGGAGACTTGAGTGTCCCAAGAGAAACTGCAGGCCCCACATGGAGGATGAACACGCAAATCAAGTGGCATCGTCAAGATCTTGACGATGAAAAATATTAACAACATCTGGTGCAATGATTAAGTGAGGCCAAAATAGAGGGAGTGAGAAGGCAAAAAATTAAAGGGGTGATGGGAGGCCTGCCTTGCAATCTGAGATATCTCGGACCAACAAGGTATGAGAAAATAGAGCCCCAAAGGGCTCTGCGCATAAAATAGGCTATCAAGGAAAAATTGAAGCTGTGTAGCATCGTGTTCGGGTTCCCGAACATTTGGGACGGAACGCGACGAGCGCCGAAATTCTCTGAACACGAACATAAAAATATTAAAAAATAAAAAAAACACGTTCTTTAAAAATTTTGAAAACAAAACAATATGTGATGTAAAATAATAATATAAACAACTTTTGCCTTAGAGGTATGCTCAAATTCATAACCGAACTCGAGTTAAAAATCAAAAGCAATTTTTTTTATTTTTTTTTGAATATGTTTGGTCGAACACGTTCGGGTGGAGTTCGACCGAATACCTGAACATGTTCGGACGTTCGAAAACGCTCCGAACATGTTTGGTGTGCTACATAGAATCTAAACAATAAAAATAACGATCAGCTGCTGGGTCTAAATCTGATTCTAGATCAAGATCCATGATCTAGAAAGAGAGTCCACAACTGCTTGACGCTTGCCACAGCAGAAATAAAAGAAAAGAAAAGAAAAAGGGAAAAAAAAGGAGGAAGAATGAGACAAAGGAAAAAAAAAGAGTTGAGGAGGATGTGTCGGTCAGTTGGAACAGACACAGTAGGGGCTGGCAGGTCCCTACTGTGACCTCATCACTCCGGATTTAGTGGAGGGCAATCCGGAGTGAAGAGATAAGGCTCTTATCTCGACAATATCTATACTAAAAAGACAAAATTAAGAGAAAAAGCAAAAGGAAGCTCACCGATTTTTTTTCCAGACCGTGGATCTGAGATTAGATCTCATGGAGGAAGGGATATGGCCGTTTTTTTGTGGAGCCAGATCAAACGGCCAACTCCAGAATGAATTGAAAGCCCTAAATGGAAAGAAACAAAATAGGGAAAAAAACGAAACAGAACATTGGTCGAAAAAGAAGGTCAGATGCAAAAAAAAATGAAAAAGGGGTTTTGGGGCCTCAAATTTGAAGCAAGGACCACTCAGGGGTAGCTCAGATTAATCCTGGCGTTCGATCCCAGCCTGATCTAAGGCTGAGGAAACACCGAGGTACAAGAAAATACCTCGGCCTACTCAAATTGGGGTGGGAACAGAAGAAAAAAAAAAGGTCCACAAGGCATTTTTCTCTCAAGTAGGACTGCCCCTTGAATATTTGGATCCAAGGGGCCACATCTGAAAATGAAAATGAGGCATAAGGACGCTCTAAAAGCAGGCAAACCTGGTACCAACCTTTCAGACTGCATGTACCTGGCCAAAAAGAGGCTAAGGTGCCCCCGAAGAGGCCCAGGGAAAAGAAAAAGCCTTGGGGGTACCTCGGTTCACCTTGGGGCGCATGGGGAGGCCCATGGGCTGGCCAAAGTGTTGTGCCCAACCTACATAAGCTGGGGGAGCAGCCCGCCACACTCACTTTGCATTAGGCAAGTGCATTCTACCTTCGTGAGCCCAAGAGAGTTTTACACTCAACCGGAGTAAGGGGAGGGGAAGTGCTACCAGTTTGGAAGCTTGGAGGAGATTGTAGGCTAGTGGGAGAGGTTGTTGAGGTTGGTAGAGGTGGTGTTGGCCCAAGGAAGTGATCCGTTATAGCCCCTAGGCTGTGAGAAAGAGAGAAATGGTAGTGAGGGTCCATTTAGCCCTCCTAGAGGGGAGGACTCCATAGCCTTAGCGGTACGAGCTTGCCATAGCCTGAGAGAGGTTGGGAAAGAAAGGAGATGTTGGTTTGAAGAAGAAGGAAGTCATAGCTGGTCTGCAAGACTGCAAAGAGAGAGAACGCTTGACCAAGGTTGACATCTTCATCTCAAGATTCTAGAGGAGGTGACTAAGAGGTTTTTTCTTCTTCGTCTTTTTTTTCTTTTTCCCCTCTTCCTCTTCTTCTTCTTCTTCTTCTTTTCTTTTTTCCTTTCCTCCTCCTCCTCCTTCTTCTTCTTCTTCTTCTTCTTCTTCTCTTTCTTTGTCTTCTTTTTCTCCTAATTAGTCTTCATTTTTCTCCATCTTTTTCCCTTCCTTTTTCTTCCTCCCCTCCTCTCTCTACAACTGACATACTAAGCATGTGAAGATAACAAGTGGCTTCTCCACTAGAGATTGTTTTCGTGTAGTCCGATTTCTCACTTCAAAGTAACTCGCCACTTTGTATTTTAAATTTTCATGCATGAAACTCACACTCCTTTCACTTTTTGACGATCTTTCCACTTGGGTGTGAATCACAGTCCTATTTCTTGCTCTTCTTAGTGTTGATGTCATCATGTGTTCATGATTTGTCTATTTTTCCACTTCAAAGATTTTTGTCACTTCGCATTTTGATTTTTCATGCATGAGAGTGAGTTTCACTCACTCACCCTTCACTTTTTGATGATTTTTTCACTTGGGTGTGAATCGTTATCCTATTTCTTGGTCTTTTTAGTGTTGATTTCATCGTGTGCTCATGATTTGTCCATTTTCCCAATTCAAAGTATTTTGTCACTTTGCATTTTGAGTTTTCATGCATGAGTCACTCCTATTCACTTTTTGATGATCTTTCCACTTGGGTGTGAATCGCAATCCTATTTTTTGTTCTTCTTAGTGTTGATGTCATCATATGCTAATGGTTTGTCTATTTTCCCACTTCAAAGTATTTCGACACTTTACACTTTGATTTCCCATACATCTCCCTTCACTTTTTTATGATTTTTCCACTTGGGTGTAAATCGCAATCATATTCTTTGGTCTTCTTAGTGTTGATGTCATCATGTGCTCATGATTTGTCCGTTTTTCCACCTAAAAGTGATTCGTCACTTTGCATTTTGAATTTTCATGCACGAAACTCACTTTCCCTTCACTTTTGATGTTCTTTCCACTTGGGTGTGAATTGCAATCATATTTTTTGCTCTTCTTAGTGTTAATGTCATCATGTGTTCATGATTTGTTCATTTTCTCACCTCAAAGTAATTCGCCACTCTGCATTTTGAATTTTCATGCCCTTCACTTTTTGACCATCTTTCCAGTTGGGTGTAGATCGCAATTCTATTCCTTGGTCTTCTTAGTGTTGATGTCATCATATGCTCATGGTTTGTCCGTTTTCTTACTCCAAAGTACTTCGCCAGTTTACATTTTAAGCTCTCATGCATAAGAGTGAGTTTCACTTAGTACTCACCCTTCACATTTTGATCAGCTTTTCACTTGGGTGTAAATCGCAATCCTATTTCTTGCTCATCTTAGTATTGATGTCATCATGTGCTGATACTTTGTCCATTTTCCCACTCCAAAGTATTCCGCCACTTTTCAAGTTGTCTCTGTGTTTCCTAGGTTGGGAGTGAGTTTCACTCACTCTCCGTCCATGCTTAGTCAATTTTTTTCACTTGGATGTAAAGTGCAACCTCAATCCTTGTCCATTTTGTTGACATGGAAATCTGTACAAAGTAGACACTATGTATTTGTGGCAGCTCACCCCCCATATGCTCTATTTGAATGACACACAAATCCCTCTCGTGCCTTGTTTGAACACCGATTCACCTCCACTCGTGCTCTACTCCAACACGGTAAGAAAGAGAGTAGGTAGGGGATCGCGGCTGTTGCTGCTGCTTCTGCTGCTACTGATAATGAGGCTGCTGCTGTTGCTGTTGATGTTTAGCCAAGCCGTACTGCTGCTACTGCTGAGAAAAACGTCGTCCAAGTCCCGGGGCAAAGGTCGTGTCGAAATAGCCAACGGGCTGGTGCCGCCCGGTGTTGCCGAAAACCAGCTCCGCTAATCGAAGGATATGGGGTTGAGACTGAACAGGCTTCATATCCTAGGCATATATAGATGATCTGCAAAACCGTCAGGCCATCTGCGTCCATTTTCCTGTAAAAACAGAAAACGGACTTCCTCGAACTCTGCACTTAGAGCCTCGGGAGGTGCCCGAAACAGGCAAGTAGGGGCAAACGGTGACGAAATCTGGTTAAACTTTAGGGAGGTCTTCAGTAGGGTATAGACAGAGGGCCTATGAAGTTACATGGACATCTGACATCATTTGGGTCACCAAACGCAAATCTGTGTTTTTCGGCTCTCCCTCGCCTAGCAAAATTAGCAAAAACCGAAAAATCGCAAATCTAGGTTTTTTGCAGTCGGAGTTTTATTTTTCAAGTCTGAATTTTGCAAAGTCGGAATGTTTGTTGCAAGTTTGCATTTTGCAAATTAAAGTTTTTCTGATGGTTCAGATATTGAGATCAGGCAAGTAGGTAGGGATTAGAAGCTTAGGGTCCACCATAGTCAAGCACCTTCACACCTTCTTTCCCCTCCACCTCCTTCGCCCATCCACCATAGCGAAGTACCTTCACACCTTCCTCCACCTCCACCTCCTTCACCCATCCACCATGGCTAAGTACCTTCACACCTTCTTCCACCTCCACCTCCTTCACCGATCCACCATAGCCAAGTACCTTCGCACCTTCTTCCACCTCCACCTCCTTCACCCGTCCACCAAAGCCAAGCACCTTCACAACTTCTTCCACCTCCACCTTCACCCATCCACCATAACCAAACACCTTCACACCTTCTTCCACCTCCACCTCCTTCAGCCATCCACCGTAGCCAAGTACCTTCATGCCTTCTTTGACCTCCACCTCCTTCGCCCATTCACCATAGCCAACACCTTCGCACCTTTTTCCACCGCCACCTTCCTCACCCATCCACCAATAGCCAAGCACCTTCACACCTTCTTCCACCTCCACCTCCCTCACCCGTCCACCATAGCCAAGCACCTGTACACCTTCTTCCACCTCCACCGTATGTATTACCCGTGGTCATGACTGTGGGCCCGATTACTGCATGTGGTCGGGATCATGGCCGCGAGGGGCAGGCGCGGGGCCCGAGTGCGGCCGTAAAACCCCGACATTTTTTATTCCTATAATAATAAGCGAAATAAATAAATAAAAATACAGGGTTGTAGGCTTTGAAAAACCCTTCCTCCGTATAAGTTTTGTTATTTTTTTTAATGTTTTTTGTGATTTTTAAAAATAAAAAACAAAAAAA